CCCCCCCCCCCCAGATGGAGTTTATGTTTCTGTGTGTTGATCTCCTTTATTCCACTCTAGGTGTTCCAGAAGGATGGCGTGGTGATGCTGTTTGACACCTCTAGTGAGTATGAATGTAACTGGATGATGCTGGTGAGGCCAGCGATGGATTTCAGCCACCAGAACCTGACCGCATTCCAGCATGGCAATGACATCTTTTTCACTACCTCCCGGGACATTGCGGCCGGCACAGAGCTGCGAGTGTGGTACGCCGCTTTCTATGCAAGGAAGATGGAGAGACCTCTGCTGAAACCTCCTATGCCCTGTCACAATGGTAGGTACCATCAGGAGGCCAGTTATGGCGCATCACTGTTTTGACCTATGCCGGTAGCTATTCTTGTTCTTTGGTTCTTTTTAAAGGGAAACTTTATTGGTTTTGGGTCGATTGTATTTATTGTTTTTTAAAGTTAATTATCATATCAATCAATTGATTATCATAGGGGCTGCCTTTCTGTCCATCTAATTCTGAAATTTAGACATCTCAGCCACACAGCACAGCCCTGACTGGCAGGGCAAGAATCCTTTTTTTTTTTGTCTTGCTGTTGGGGCATGGGGTGTTATAATAAACAGTTTGGAGACCCGCTTGTCCTGCAAAACTCTGCGTTCTTTGTGTCTTTCTAAAACTGGCCATACACCTTGCAATATCTGCAGATTTTCTGTGGTCAGATGGAAAAGGTGCAACCGATTCCTCCATCTCCACTTAACTGTGTGGATGAAGTAATCTCCACCTGGGCCAATCTGTTGCACTTTTTCCCTCTGACCACAGAAAATCTGCATATAAATTGTAAGGTGTATGGGCACCTTTAGTCAAGTGTAATGTAATACTGCATTATGGCCACTAGATGGAGCTGTAAAGCATAGGAAATCCTTCTTTCCTATGCTCCTGAGCTCCACCTAGTGGCCATAATGTACGGTACTTTTCTGATGATACATTCAGTTTTGGTAAAAAGTTTTCTGCAGGACGAATGGCTCTGCAACTTGTTTCTAAATACGAAATTGTAAAGGATGTCACCAGCACACCAAGCTGTTAAATTCAGCAAATGTCCATTTTAATGACAATGTCATCCAATAGCATGTACTTTCGGGGCCTCGCAGGGTCCCCGTCATCCGGCTCAGAATGACGGGGACCCCGCGAGGCCCCTAAAGTACTTGCTATTGGATGACATTGTCTGTAATTTAAAATGGACATTTGCTGAATTTAACAGCTTGGTGTGCTGGTGACATCCTTTTACAATTTCGTATTTTCTCACAGCGCCCCCGTGGTCACTGCGAGCACCCATTCACACATTTTTTTTCAAGAAATCCGATAAGGAGTGCAGCAAGATGCATATACCTTTCTGCTTGTTTATAAATATATCCCATAGTGTTACTTTGGTAGACTTTTTTTGCCAACGCAAGTTCACGTTCATTCTGTTTTGTACACAGTGGTGGGGTTTTTGGCAGCTGAACCCGTAAAAGAGGTCAACGCAACTTCTTCAAAAAACAACCGGATCACCTCATCAACCTCCAAAAAAACAAAGGCTGCTCGCACTCTAGCCGCATACACGTCCAGGACAAGGAAGAACTGCTCGGGTGCCATGACAGGTAAAATGTGGGTGAGCACATATAGACGATCGGCGGGCTATGGAGCCGCCGATCGTCTATATGTTTAACACCCAGTAACGGGTGTTTGCATTGGTCGGGTCTTTTCTGCCCGTGCGTGCACGCGCGAGGCAGAAAAAAATGCGGTCTGGCGACGGCAACCCGCCAATGCAGCAGTGCCGTCCGTCCGTTTTTTTACGGCAAGTTGGCAAGTGGTTTAAATGAGGCTCTATCAAGTTTATCAAGTTGTAGCCACTCAGGGCAGGGAAACCTAATTCCCTTCAGTCCTGCCCAGAGCCGCATCGCATTTGTAGAAAATAGTGCCGGTGATGGTGAAGAGCTCCTACTGCACACCTCATGCCTATAGTGTGAGTCCTAGTCTTCTGGATGGTCATAGGCTGTCATAAGTATGGACCAGCCATAGGAATAAATGTGGTTTGGCTCTGAGCAGGACCGCACAGTGAAGAACTCGGGGGCAGGGCTGAAGGTTGTGTATGTAGGTAGGTGGCTGCCACTCGGTGGGGGAACATTTAAGGTGTATTTAAACCAACCTTTTTTTTTTGTCTGTTTCTCATAAACTTCCTTTTACATTCTGTCCCAGAGATAAATCGGGACCTAAGTGGAAATCTCTTTATGGTTGTCACCAAGACCGGTTGATCACCTTTTTTATGCAACTTTTAATGACTTCTGCAGTCTCAATGATTTAACCCCTTCATGGCAAGCATCTTTAGTACTTAGTAGTGCACCCTTTGGCTGTTGTGACCCGCTGCAAACCAGATGCATAGCCAGACACCATCTTCTGGCAGCGTTCCTGAGGAATCTTGGCCCATCCTTCATGACCAACGGCCTCCAGTTCTCTATTATTCTTGGGTTTGCATGCTGCAACCACCCTCTTCAAATCCCACCACAGATTATATAAGGGGTTAGTCAGATGACTGTGATGGCCACTGTGGAATCTTCCAGGACTTGGTGGAATTTGAGGTATACTTGGGATCAATGTCCTGTTGGTTTTCCTGATGCTTCAATAAATCCATCTTGCCTTCCACACTCTGCAGGTTTCCAGTGCCCCAGGATGCAAAGCATCACCGAGCCACCACCATGCTTAACCAGTTTTGTTTCATCGCTCCACAGAACAGAATCACAAAACTTCTGTGGATTATTTATATGGTTTTGAGCATATTGGCGGTAGCGCTGCAACAACTGATCAATCGATTTAACCGATGATAATCGATAACGATTAGTTGATTCTGCTTCACTCCTCCCGGCTGGGAGCACAGCTGGGGAGACATCCACTCACTTTCTGTGTGGTCCATCAGCACAGGACGTGAGGGGAAATCTCCAGCATAGACAGCAGTAAAAACGTGACGCATCCTAACCCTTCCACTCCATAGCCAAAATGGAAACGTAACCTTGCGTCCAATTCTGCTGTGAGAAAAGGTTCGGCCTGCAACGCGCTGTTTGTTGTGTGAACTAGCCCAGAGGCATTAAAGGAGAACTATGGGGTCAGGCGTTTTCCCCATAGTTCTCCTTAGGGTACGGGAGGACACAAACTAGCGTCCTCCCGTCACTCTAAACTCAGTATACCGCAAGCTACAGCTCGCGGTATACTGGGACGCCGCAGCCGGAGCGGATCGATGTCGAGATCCGCCCAGCTGCGTGAGCGACAGCTGGCTCTGCCTATCTAGAGGCAGAGCCAGCTGTACCCGCCCCCTCCCCCGTCTGTTCCGCCAGTCAGCGCTGGCGGAGGGGGGAATCCATCCCCTCCTCTGCCGTGACATGATCGAGAAGTGAGCGAACGCCGGTATGTGTTCGCTCACCTCCCGATCTACTGAGCCGACCTGTGACAGTGTCATTGTCACAGGTCGGCTAGAACTATTAGTGAGTGAAAAGCACTCACCTCATAGTTCTCCTTTAATGTTGATGCTGGGGGAATAGAGGTGCAAAGCTGGACCAGGGAGTAGCTGTGTCTGGCCAGGCAGTGTGAGAATTCCAGGACTGGCTGAGCAGATTTGAAGTGAAACTCCAGCTTTGCAAAGCCCCCTTCCCCCAATTAAGTAGACTGGGTAGTGGTTAGAATCTCTGTCAGGTTTACATGTCTGCTTGTGCCTCCACTGGGGAGACCTTCACTCGCTTTCTGTGTGGTCCATCAGCACAGCACGTGAGGGGAAATCTCCAGCATAGCCAGCAGTAAAAACGTGACGGATCCTAACCCTTCCACTCCATAGCCAAAATGGAAACATAACCTTGCGTCCAAGTCTGCTGTGAGAATGGGTTGTGGTTTTCTAAAGTAGCATTTTGTTTTTTCCCTTTTCAGTTACCTGTCAGGAGAACAGTGACATCATCCATGTGGAAACCTGCGAGTGGGCATGTAAAGTGTGCAATACCACCTTCCTCGAACCCAACCTGTTGACAGGTATTATTTGTCACTACACTTCAGATCTTTGCAGCAGATGAAACACAGGAAAGCAAAGCCCATAGACACAAGCCTTTTACTTTGCTGGAATTTTAGTCTTTGTGTCAAATCTGAGCGGCGCTGATGAGAGGGGCCGTGCTAGACTGCTCCTGGAGACCCGAACCCCTGCTTGTGTGTGTGAGAGCAGTGGTTAGACTCCCTAGCATGGTGCTAGCACAGGCAGCTGAATACACTGTTCAGTTCTACACTTGCAAGCTATTCTACTTGCCAATTAAATTGTATTTCTGTCCATCCATTTCTGAGATTTTCTGTTCTAGGGATAACTTTTTACTGGACAGGTGGTGAGGGGAAAGTCTGCAACAGGGAGACAGTAAAAAGCTGACAGAGGTTCTAGCATCCCCCCCCCCTACCTCACTTCCTGTCCCGGGGACAACCTTCCCACACAGGAGGTAAAGGTATCTCTCCAAGGGAGCCTCCAATGGCACTGATACCTAACAAGCATTCTAATCCTTCCCCACTCCAAAACTAAAAAAAGATTTGACTGTAGGTGCAGATTTTAATGAATACAGAGATGCAACATTTTTATGGTTGTTTTTGTTTTTTAATCTGCCTGGAGTTCATGTTTGACCCTCAATGCAGGACTTAGTATGACAAAAACGGGGGAAAACCCAGAAATAAACGTATATTTCTTGCAGCTTTGAATGTATTTCATAATAAATGCCAAGGCTTTAAAGGAGAACTATGAGGGGCGTGCTTTTCACTCACCTCATAGTTCTAGCCGACCTGTGACAATGAGACTGTCACAGGTCGGCTCAGTAGATCGGGAGGTGAGCGAACACATGCCGGTGTTCGCTCACTTCTCGATCCTGTCACGGCTCTCTGCCGTGACAGGGGAGGGGATGGATTTCCCCCTCCCCGCTCCTATCCGCCAGCGCTGACTGGCGGAATGGACGGGGAAGGGGGCGGGTACAGCTGGCTCTGCCTCTAGATAGGCCCAGCCAACTGTCACTCATGCAGCTGGGCGGATCTCGATATCGATGTCGGGATCTGCTCCGGCAGCGGGGGTCTCGGTATATAGTGAGCTTTAGCTCGCAGTATACTGAGCTTAGGGTAACGGGAGGACGCTAGTTTGTGTCCTCCCGTTACCCTAAGGATAATTATGGGGAAAAGCCCTGACCCCATAGTTCTCCTTTTAAAGTTGACCTTTTACCCCCTTTGACTAGAAATCACATCAGCATACAGCTCTGCATGCTGATATGAAATCATCTTACATTCTTTAGCTAAACAAAACATTTATTTCTATTTTTTACTTACAATTTCTGTTTTTGTTTTGTTTTTTTACTTCCTGGTCCTCTTTGGCACAGATGTCATCGCGCCCAAGCGTTGCATCCTAGGAAGGTTACATCAGCAGGGCATTGCTGGAAATCTCATCTGTAATCTTAGGGAAAGGCATTTTCCTCCCCTAAGATGATGTGCATGGTCACATGTGCCAGAGTTCCAGGAAGTAAAGGGACATGGATTAATCTGCCCTTAGTAAAAAATGACCGCTCTGAGAAGACTGGGGAGGAAAAGAAAAATAAGTCATGCAAAGAATACAAAGTCGGCAATTATCTAGAAGTTTGTTTGTAGATTTTCATCACTAAACATTTGTGTTTTTTTTGTTATTTCGATGGGTAAAATTCCTCTTTTAAAGATGAACCACATTTGTATTAACCCTTGCAGCGGGGCTAGCCCGGCACCGCAAGGGTTACGTGCTCGTTATGGTCTAGGGAGGAAAATATAACAAAGTTATACTCACTCACCTGATCCTCGGGCCAGCCAGCTGTGACTGTGCTCCCTCCAGCCTGTCTCCTCCACTGCAGCGATGGTATGTCCCTCAGCATCCTCGCATCCTATACACATTTGTATAGAATGTGATGATTTGGGACCTTAGACTTCTGCAGCGGAGGGGGCGAGAGGCTGGAAGGACCTGTCTAAGACCAAAAAGAGCAGTTAAAGGAGAACTATGAGATGAGAGCTTTTCACTCACCTCATAGTTCTAGCCGACCTGTGACAATGAGACTGTCACAGGTCGGTTCAGTAGATCGGGAAGTGAGCGAACACATACCGGCGTTCGCTCACCTCTCGATCCTGTCGTGGCTCTCTGTCGTGACGGGAGGGGCTGGATTCTCTCCGACCCGCCAGCGCTGACTGGCGGAACGGACGGGGAGGGGGCGGGTACAGCTGGCTCTGCCTCTAGATGGGCAGAGCCAGCTGTCACTCACGCAGCTTTGCGGATCCCGGCACAATTGTCGGGATCCGCTTCAGCTGCGGTGTCTCAGTATACTGAGCCTAGGGTGACGGGAGGATGCTAGTTTGTGTCCTCCCGTTACCCTAAGGAGAACTATGGGGAAAAGCCTTAACCCCATAGTTCACCTTTTAACCCTTGCAATGCGTGGGTAGCCCCACTGCAAGGGTAAATAAATATTTTGCCCAGAGTTCTCCTTTTAATTCATTATCTCCAGACTATCATGGCAGGTCCGGTTGGTGTGTGTGTGTGCTGGTTGGTACTGTGTTTTGATATGCACATAATCAGTTTTACCCTAATCACGAAGTTATGTGTCCTCCCTGTTCTTCATCTTACCTTGGAATTGTGCAGGGAATGTTGTTTGTTGTTCAGGATTTATATAGCGCTAACCTTTTCTGCAGCACTGCACAATATAAAGGGAGGCAGAGCAGGTTAGGAGGACCTTTCTCTTGAGAGCTTGCAATCTCTAAACAAGAAGGACAAGTGATGCAAAGAATAATAGTTGATGGAGAAGGTAAAGTTGTTCGGTGGAGGGATAGGTATCCCTGAAGGTGAGTTTTCTGGGATCGGCTGAAGACGGAGTAGGAGATGGCCGAACAGACTGGGGTAGGGAGTTCCAGATTATCAGAGGGGCTCTGGAGAAGTCCCAGCATTGGAGGAAGTGACTAGGAAGCTGCACAGCTGACATAACCCTTTTTCATTGCAGAGCATTTACTAAGCCACCTGGAGCAAGCAAAGTCAATCTCTCCATCCGAGTCCTGTGAGCCGACTTTTACCGAGGGAGACCCCGGAAGTGCTCCAGCCGAGCAGCCCGTCATCTGCAGCGCTCCACTCGCTAATACAGGGGTGACCAAGAAGAAGCAGAAGAAGGGAAGGAAATCCAAAAGCACAAAGGCCAATATTCCTCTCGTGATTGTCGAGGATGACAGCCCTCCAGGTGAAGGGATTTGAAGATCATGATTTTAAAGTGCAACTCCAGGAGCTTTTAAAAAAAAAACAAAAAACATTTTTACATTTATTTTTCTTAAACGCCACTAATCAAATAATTAGGGATGCGCAGATACCGTTTTTTCGCTATCGAGTACCGATTATTTTTTTTCCAGTAGTCACCGATAACGGAAGTCCCATTAAGGAAACCAGGTGGCGTGTCATGACTCTCCACCAGGCTCCCCGATCAGCAGGGAAGCCGTCTCCATGCTCCCTCGTCACTTCCTCGAACAGGAAGAGAGCTTAAATCTTCCAATAGGGTTGACAACTGTCTAATAACACATTTTCCTCACTTCCTGTTGTGTCCACAGGTCCTAAGCTCCAAGTGAACCTGCGTATTGGCATTTAAACTTGAACTCCGCTATCATTTGACGTGTACACTGTAAAAATGAACCCAGATATGCGTGTCCCATGTATAGGATGCATTCTCTTCAATGAACGCAAGGCGCTCTGTGATTGGAGGAGGGCTGGATATTCATCACAATCTTCCCTCCTCCAATCACAGAGCGCCTTGCTTTCATTACCGAGAATGAAGGAGCTGGAGGGGAGCAACCGTGGTGTGTGTGTGCCAACTGGAACTCTCAGTGTCTGATGTTTCACACTGACTCCACTATGGGGGTGTGAGCGAAAGGCAGAGTTGCACATAACGGTCTGGATTTATCTTTTACAGTGCATGTGTCAAAAAAAGTTTTCTTCTGTGTGAATAAAAGTAAAAACTAACATTCTCGGCATATTTTCTTTCCAAGTCAAATGTAATAAAAGGAAAATATCATATCATGGCCACTAGGTGGAGCACAGGAAAGACGGAGTTATCTCCTACGCTCCTCAACTCCATCTAGTGGCCATCATTTGGTATGTTCCTGATTTATTAGATCCGACTCGGAAAGAAAATATACCAATCACATTTGTCTTTGCCTGCATTTGCAAAGAGTGAATGTGCATGCTGTTTAGTGGGACGAATGGGTCTGAATTTTTTATAATTACACCTCTTAGTAATGTTAGGCAATTTATAACCACCCTAGTTCAGGAAGGCATTTGGTTCTTGTGTATTGAAATAGAAATGTGAAGAGGGTACATTTTAGCTTTAAATTTACATTAACCCCCAAAACCGACGTAATATATTGCAGATTACTAGTCCTTTGATGCGCTGGCTGCATTAGTTGTCATTAATTTTTTCAGCAAGTACAGAATAATACCTGCTGATTGTCCAGGAATATAGTGTCCTTGTCACTTCCTGTGAGCTGAAAAGAAAGCAAACAATTTTTGTGAGCTGCTAATCAATCCACCATGTAATGGGGATGAACAAAGGCAGACATGTTTGAAGTCCAGCGTGGGTGACAACTGTGGCTCCCTCCATAGATACATGCAGATGAGTAGCCACAAAATGTGTCACCAGGTGATAATACAAAGAATAAGTCCGTTAAAAAAACCAAATGCAGCCACCACATGCAAGTATAGGTAAGGTGTGATTTATATATTACGTATAATATATTTCCGGATTTAGATACGCTTTAGGAAACTTGATGTCTGTTGTGAGATTTTGTTGTGCTGTGATGGTCAATCCGTTGCCGTCGCCCTGTGTACTGTCTGCTGGTGCTTGCGTGTGTTTGCGCACGTGACTAATGTTCCTGTGTCTTATCTATGCTTCTCCCCCCTTCGCGGCTCCCACCCAGCACATCATCCTATTCTTTACAGTCCAGTTTTTCCATCCGACCGGGTGGCCGAAATCATCACCGAAATCCCTCCTGACGAGGTGCCGCTGCCGCACGACTCTGACGACAAGTTCATGGAGCTGATGTTGGGAAAACTGCCCACTGCCAACAACAGCTTGGCACCCGTCTCCAAGTGAGTAGCTTGATGCGTTCCCTTATGCTTTACTTGTGCTTTATATTTATTTGTATAAAATCCCTTATTCTGCAAATAAACATTTTATTATGAGGGGCGCCCATCACATTGGTAGTGCAGGGTGTTCTCTTGAATCAAAATTCCTTGAGGCTGGGTTCACACCTGGGCGTTCCAAATAGGAGCGTTTTTTTAGCACGTTTCAAAACACGTTTCAAAACGTTTTTGTTCACTGAAACGCACGTTCGACGCTCGTTTTTTAACCTCCTTGGCGGTATGATTTTTTTTTCTCTCTCTCTCTCTCTCTCTCTCTCTCTCTCTCTCTCTCTCTCTCTC